CTAGCCCCAGAGACAACATTTGAGCCAAATCTGTCCACGGAGAAAAAAGTCGGTCAAAACTGGCTCAATTCTGGATGGTTGGGGCAGTAAAGGGTAAATAGTGCCAAGGGCCTTAATCACTCAAAAGTAATTTCGGACGAGTTTCCCGTAGGCATCTTGCCAATAACCGGTGCGGTAGATACGGCTGCTCATATATCCATGCACACCGCAGCCGCTTCAGGTCAATCCCTTCGCTCCATATTTTAGGCAGCGTTCAGACATCGCGACTGCAGCGCTTCGGCCGCGCGTTGGACGCGATCGATACGCATGCTTTCGACTGCGTCGATTGCGTCGCGAGTGAAGCCGCTGCCGTCGCAAATTCTGAACGCTGCCTTACTTCGCAAATGAAGCAGTGCGAGCATCAGGCACGGTCGTCCGTCTGTGGGCGGGCGTGGTGGGCTTTACGGTCGGTATGTTGTGGCTTGATAAAGTTCTTATAGGGGTACCTTCCTCAGAAAAGGGGCCACGCAGCGCCTGCTTGGGGGGGGGCGGAATAATGTCCTGCAAGGCGCCTTCATCATACTGGTCTTAGAGACTTATCGTGCCAAGTGCCTTCAAATGTGAGTTGTTGACAGGTGATGAGAATGAAGTTTTTTGAACACTGTCTGATGTATTAGACGTTGGGAACTTTACTGACTAGTACCACGAAAATGACTGAACTTGTTTATTTTTTTAATGTTCACACGAATTAGACGCAGTTTTTCATAACATTGTAAACTGTTCCGGAAGCTTCGTTTGCAAAGCTGATTTCGCTGCGACCTTGGCAGAAAACCGTCATGCCGTCAGTGATGACTACCTGAATCAAGTGTGTTCAGCTGATCCTTTCAAGGCACATTACGCAGTGCGCCATCGAAACTTTGTAGGTACGACAGCAAAAAACAAAAACGTGGCGTAGTTCACTTATCCTGGAGAAAAAGGGGCGGGACTGTCAAAAACGTTCTGAGGAAGCACTCCTCATAGGAAAGATAGTGACTTCTGGCTCCCGCCACACACAGCCACGATTCCTATTGATGATCGCGGATTGTTCCTTTAATTCCAAGAAAACTCTACTTCGCGCCTGCATGCTCAAGTCCAGCTTGAGTTGGTGTGGATTTGAAAAAAAAATTCCAGGGCAGGGATAACTGATTTCTCCCAAAAACACGTCTAACTGCCACAAGTTCCACCCGCGACAATGTGCGACTACCCAAGATGTGGATCCTTCCGGGTGCAGTGAACCGTTCTACAGCGCCAAAATTACTAATTCCGCCTTCAAGGTGCACGGCAAAGCCAGCCGATTGCGATAGCTTGATGCTCATGATGTCTCAGCCCGCCATTCGATGCCATCCAGCCAGGTAACACGAGCTGCTTCTCTGCTCTCTCTTACTGTGACAAAGCTGAAAGGGAATGGTTACCACTGAAAGGATTTTTTCCAATGAGGGCAGCAGGTTTTGCGTGATAGGGCTTGAACTCACTGAGCGCGATCGCTGACTCATCCAACTGACTTTCATTTGGGGCACATTCCACGCCGATCGTGAGCCACTTTCAAATAGTTCAGAAAGGTTCTCGTGTAACAAGTGACTTAGTGTCAGCGCGGTTATGTCATCAGGCAAGGTTTGAAAGCTTCATTTTTTATAACAATGAGCGGCGCAGTTCGGCGACGGGGGGGGGGCATTTTGTACTATCATTGCTTCCCTAGTTCCGGTTTACAAGTCTCACTCTGGCGAAACCTGTGAACTCTTGTGAAGCTGGAGCAAGGTCGTCAAGCCATCATGGTAAAACCTGTCAACTCGAGAAGAGGCTGTCTAGATAGGTCGACACGTCGATGGGAAGTAGCAAAAGTGCAAAATGCCACCCCTCCCCCACCCCCCGTCGCTGAACTGCGCCCAGCTACTAGGATCGAAGCGTACTATGTATACCTGCACAAACTCATTGTACTTTTTCATGTCCGCTGCATAGATCACAGCGATGCCTTTCTCTGGAACCAGTATGGAGCGCCTAAAACAACAGAATAAATAACAATGCTGAACAAACACGGCATTGGGATTATTATGGAAGGTTGTTGAAAGTTTGATCAAAATCCGCTACCTAGGGCGTTGTTCACAGTCTGTGACCTAGCGTTTAACGCTTCGGCGAAAAGCTTTCGATACGTATCGATTGGCGGTTCGGTGAAGACAGCACACATCGTTGTTGGGGAATCCCCAATGGGGGGGGTCGTATTTGGCCACCAGGAGAGGGGGGTTGTATTTGGGCTGGGAAAAAATTTATTTTGATAGTTGATTTTTCTTGCCTCATGGACGTTGTAAAGGGAGAGGGCTGGTCGTACCTGGTCATTGTTGGGAAGGGGGGGGGGACGTATTTACGTTTTGTAGGAGTGGTGGTTGACTTTTGGTGATGTTCTTGTTTCATGCGTACTCGACGGCTCGATTCGATGAGAAGAACAGAGGGCCGGAGGGGGGGCGGGGTCGTATCCCCGCCCCCCGCCCCCGAAGAGTCTGGCAGTTACGCAGTTATCGACGGGCGGTTCGGCGGAGCGGTTAGGCATTTTGGGGCCGACCGCCCTGGCGTTCTCTAGGGCGAAGCCAGCAAAATCGATGCGCATCTACTTCGCCGAACCGCGGCGGCGTTTCTCCAAGGGCGGTTGGATATTCTCCGATCCCAAGTACGTATTTTTGCTGTTTCGCTCGAACCACTTGTTCCGTCGGGTCGCAGGGACTTGCACGTTGTGGGTGCTTCTGCTCGCACGTTGTGGGTGCGGCGAGCGTGCTGAGCAGTTCCACTCAGATACAGTCCTCATCACTGAGGACTGTCGCAGGCGGCGTGAGCAGCGCGGCTTCGACTCCACGTTCGGCTCCCTCTACCAATGGCGATCGGGTAGAGATCGATTTAGGAAGGAAACAGCCAATGATGAAAATGCCGCAGGTGAGAAGCGCTGATTGAGACCAGATAATGCGCTTGATTATTGAGCGTACCGTATGATTATAGCGTTTGAGCGAGGGCTTAGAGCTCAACCTTAGTCCTGACATCTGATATTCATTCCAAAGCAACGCAGGATAGCGACCACGCATTCTATTTCAAGTTAGTGCCTTCGTGACTAATAGTCTTGCGTGTGAACGATCAAGTTCACTGGGATCAGAGACCTCGGATTTCGCGTATACAAACGTGAGAAATTCAATTTTGTTTAAGAACAAAACCCACGGCCTCAACTGAATCCTGTCGTCATCGTCATCGTTGAGGCGTATGCGCACGGAAAGTGGAGCATAAATGGACACATCCCTTCCCTAAAATAATAAAAGCTTCTCAGCACGAAGAACAGTGCACATGAGAGGAGGCTTTGGCAACAATTATGAAACCTGTAATCATTAACTTACTTCATTCTCACTGTGAACGTGATACACGCTCTGTTGCTTAGGACAGCGCTGAGAAAGGCAACTCATGGCAAGGAGGAAGCTAACCGCTCAGCACGAGAAAGGCAACTCATGGCAAGGAGGAAGAACCGTCAGCACCCTTCCTTGCTCCATCCAGCGCAACCTGTTCAACCGCCGTATCTTCCAGTTTCCTCTAAGCCCTTGCTTGGGCCTGTTCTCAACTTCCCAAAGAAAAACGTGAAGGCGGAGGCGTTGTATTCAGCACCAGAAAAGATAATAGCGCCTTTCCGAAATCACACTCTCCTTAGATCGGCGACCACTCACCCCCCCCCCCCCTAACCAAGCGAGCCAAGTATGACCACCTCTCGGGAGAGAGTCGGATACGATCCCTTCCGTCAAAGCTACTCCAAAGTCGTCGTGCCCTATTCCCAACCTCCGCTTGCTCACACTCTACGATCGTCAAAAATTTGAAGAGAGGCAGTTCAAATTACTGGCGTGTCGGGGCTTCATAAACAGGGTAAAGCGTCGTGATGTGTGAAATGGCGGTGCCAGTACGCCCCCGGAAAAGGATCCTGGTGCGACACCCCTCATTCTCCGGCTTAGATTGTTTGCTCTGACGAGAAAGATTAGATACGTAACGACATGCAAGCGCTT